GTCACGTATTTTAATCGATTTTCAACCGGCTCGCGGTTAATCGTTACATCCCTAGTTAGCATGTTGTTAAGATATGCTTGCTTACATGTGTTTGTAGCAGGGTTACTTTAGTATCATTAAGATACCATTATAGTTTGTATATATTTTTGAATTCGTTTTTATCTGCATTATTTTCATTTTCATTTTAGTTAAAGTTTTAGTTTTTTTTTTTTGAGTTGTTGTCATTTTTATTAATGTTTTTCTTTGATAGTTTTGATTAATTTCAGTTTTAGTCACCTAAGTTAATCCTAAAAATGAGCAGCTAGCTGAATTTATCTATTTATTTATTCTTTTTAATTTATTATTTAATTATTTGCCCACGTAGAGCATGGCATTACATTCACTTATGGGTTCCCTTGTTGAAAGATTTGGAATAATGTTGTGGGATGCTGGTTGACATGGAATAGTTGTTATTGTTGCGTGCTGTCTCGCTAGTATTTCAGTATCTTGCGCACGAGTACTGCATTTTTATTTTATTTTTTTAAATAAGCACATTGGTCCTTCCATTCCACTGTGTGGTGTCTTGTGTTTTTTACGTAAGAAAGTGTTATGTGTAAACAGAATTCAGAACAGCTGACAAGAACAGAAATATAACATATTTGTTCTTAAAATGCTCTGGTTCTGAAACGCAATAAATACAGAGGCTCCAAAACTGTGATTGTGGTGCTGGAAGCCACAGTGGCGTATGAGAGGAATCAAAGCACAGAGACGCAGGGGACATCTCACATTGATCAGAGGCAAGTCAAGCATAAATCAAACACCTGGACAACCATCAGTGTTTTCTCTTGAAAATGTCAATATTTGTTTTCTGCTTTAGAAGCGCTGTTATTCCCTATGTGTAGGCTAGATGAAACCCTTTGGATAAGCTCGGATAATGCCAGACATTTACCCCTTATGAAATTACATTCTCATCCCTTGATACCTTGATGATTTCTGCTGATGTGTAACTGCTTTCTCTCACTGAGAAAAAAAGGATAGAAATGTAATGCAGGGCTACATTTATCAAGTAGTAAATAGATAGTTATTAGTTGTGTGCATGTTTGGAGTAAGGGGAAATGAGAAAAATAATAAGGATGGAGAGATGTATTTTATTTATTTATGTGGTTCTCTGGAATACTTGATTCTGAATTGTAAATCACCATTGTAGCAATACTATTAGTCCGTACATTGTGTAGGCTAGATGAAACCCTTTGGATAAGCTCGGATAATGCCAGACATTTACCCCTTATGAAATTACATTCTCATCCCTTGATACCTTGATGATTTCTGCTGATGTGTAACTGATTTCTCTCATTGAGAAAAAAAGGATAGAAATGTAATGCAGGGCTACATTTATCAAGTAGTAAATGCAATACCTTTCCCTCCGACATCACTACATATAGTTATTAGTTGTGTGCATGTTTGGAGTAAGGGGAAATGAGAAAAATAATAAGGATGGAGAGATGTATTTTATTTATTTATGTGGTTCTCTGGAATACTTGATTCTGAATTGTAAATCACCATTGTAGCAATACTATTAGTCCGTACATTCAAATAACTATAACTGGCACTACTTTCATGTCTATCCTATTGTTACAGTGTTTGGCTTGTTGGTAGGTTTTGTACATTGCTTTTTTTCTGAGTTGAACGTAATGATTAATATAAGGTACATTTATAATAATAATAATGAAAAAGTTTTAAAATTAATATTTTTTAGCACCAAGAGTGCTATTTTTTTCTTTTTGATGTTGAAATTGAGAGCTTACAACTCCGAAGAAGAATGTTGCTTTGTGGCTTTTTTTATAATTTTTTTTTTTTTCTTCGTATTTTTATACGGATAGTGCAGCCTACTCTAAAGCATTTTAACAGCTCACTTCATGTTTGATTTTGAATATGTTATTATCCTCTCACTCGTTGTTTTTTCTTTTTATGTTCTCTAATTCTTGGCATGATGAAGTGCTTTATGTCAGGCCCTGTGGAGTATGTCTAAATCTGATTTGTCATCTGAGATAGCTCAGAGGGAATCCTCTAACTAAGACTGGTAATTGTGCCCATTGTCTCTGCAGATCTAAGAGAGGCAGTTTGTGAAAATACCCTCACTGATTAAGTCTCAATTCTGCCTCTGCAGTTGGCATATTAGCATAATCATCTGTTTATGCTGTGAATAAGAAAAAACCCTGCTAAGCAGCAATTTCAAAGGCCTGAAAACAGAGCCTTGAGGAACCCCCATGTTTGTTTATTTATGTTGTACTACCTTTCAAAGTTTTTTAAAGTCTTTTATGCTCACTTTTAAGTGGTAGTGTATTTGGCAAATACTTCTATCCATTGTGACTTACACTGCATTCAGTTCTTTTTATCAGTTCATACATTCCCTTGGAATTAAACCATGACCTTGTTTTTCTAGTGACTTTGCTTCTGATTTACTGTTCGTCTGACCCAAGGTAGATGAGCAATGAGACCACTGGACTGTAACGGACATATGCAACATATGCAAATGCTAGTCCATTGAAACACAGCAATGCAAGGCCAGGGTCATAGGTCATCCTAGGCACAGAATAACACAAGCTGTTCTCCTGGTGTTGTAATTCCAATACTGCTCATTTAAATATAACACCATGTGCAAGTACCTTTTGCTTTGCTTTGTTGGGCAAACTGATCAAACAAGATCAATAAGCTTGCGATCAATGTGTTTAACATATCATTTTAAAACGCAAGACGCTAAACAGCTGTGATGCCCATTAAACAATGTGGCATAATAAACAGTCATCAGCTTCCAAATCAATGCAGGCTTTAGGTCAGCGTCTAACAACAAAGAGCTGAAAAAACGATCAAAGGGTGATGTGTTCGACTGATTAAATTACTTTTGTTCAGCATGTAGGCAACACAGCAGGACTAAATAGCAAATCAAGTCACAAAGG